CTCTGAAATTCCTGAGTGCTGTGATTCCTTTAGAGACAGGCCATGTCCCCAGACAGGAGCTAGAAGAGCCTCCAGAAGCCAACAGCCAGCTCTGGCTGCAGGGGGGTGAGGTCCAGGTACAGTGCAGGGCAAGGACTGCCACCCACTGAGGCACAGTGGCACACCTAGCACAAGTGTGGGGACAAAGATGTTGATGTAAGCTTCCTCCCAGGTTATTAACCTTTGAGTTTGATTTTATGTTAGCTATGGATAGTTGTGATTTGTTACTGGGTGTCACCAGGTACATAATAAGTTGCGTATCAGAACGCTTGAATTTATTGTATTGATTTTATGTACATATGGATTTTCTCTTTCCAATACAGATAAAATAAATGCAAAATTTGCAAGTTTTCTCAATTCACAATTCATTCTCAGAAGTATCAGATCAATCTACCTATTTTTTTCTTGATTAATATTCTGTTGGTCCAGTAACAGTCCCCTCTAGTGGAATGAGTGCCAATTTGATATGACACCCTGCCATGACCTGTTCATGACATTCTTTACTTGTCAATTTTTCTCAGTTTGTAAAGGGAAGATTAAACCTTCCAGATGAATCAGTTTCTGGTCTTAGAGTACTTTGAAGTATTCACTATAAGGGGATAGCACAGAAGTTTTGGGCATGGAGACAGTGAGAAGTGCTCAGAATGTTCTTATCAGCCCTGATTAATCACCATGCAAATGTATAGTGCTGGGCAAACATTTCATGGTGATAAGATGTCTGTTTTAGTATGAGACCTTTGCTTTAGCATTAGGCCTCAGCTTTAGTGCTCTCCAAGCTGTGGGATCTGTGTCCCTCACTTCCTGTCATGCCTTACTGCATCATTTGCACTCTGCAGAATGTGCTTATGGAAAAACAGAATGAAATTTAAACCTGCAAGATCTTCTCAAAACACATTTCAGGGCCATGTTACTGACAAGTCTGTGCTACCTATTCTGGATTGTCTTTTTATGATAAAGTTAATTAATATACGTCCTGATTGTCTGTGTCTGAGGCAGATTGATGTGCTTGCTCCCGGAAGAAAAATGCTGATGTTATTTTTCTGTTAGGAGCAGGTGATGTAAGCAGAAGAGCAACAGGGTAGGATCCCTTCCAGTGGATGCTTTGTGTCAGTGTGTAAATTCTCAGAGAGAGATGATCTGTGGGAGGAGAGTGTTAATGTGGATGAGACCACATGCAGAGAAAATTTAGCAGGGGAGGAGGCACAGGTTGCAAAGAAGCAATCTGGGAAGGCTGGAGACTGGCTGCCCCCCAGAGCAGCAGTTTGCATTGCAGGTAGGCTTCATTCCATGGCATCTCACAATATTTCTCTTAGAATGTTATACATAATAGGTTCTAATATACCTATTAGGTTCTAATACCTATTAGAACAAGAGCATATCTAAGATAATTGTTTTTAAAGACGTATACTCTAGGTTTTTGCTGTAACATTAAAGTTAAGAAAAATATATTGGAAAGCAGGGCTGGTGTCTGCCTCTCAGTGCAATGTGGCTTCAGATGGAAATCAGGACATTCTTCTCAGCTGTGTGTGCCTGACTGCCAGGCTGCAAGAATTACTATTTATTTCTCCGAAGCCACTGAACTTGACCTTTATAGGGCTGCAGTGATATGCCACATGAAAGGGCCATGGGGCCAATCCATCAATAGCTATTTTTTAACTCTGCACCTGTGAGCTGCCTTTTGGATGGAATAACTTGAAAAGACTTGATCTTCAGTACAGAGTGACAAGTTCATTCCTAGTACAGACCATGTATGATGTGTTTTGTACGTAGTGAGACATGATAATGTTCTGAGGTAGTGTTTTTCCTTGTCCCTGACTTGGACATTTAAACCAAATGTCATGGATTTACAGAATAAAGATATGAAGTTGGTATTTAAGTGAGGATTAAGACTGGGGAGTTTCTATACATGGCATCTGGATCTGGGACATTGCCTGTGTTTATATTGTGTAATGTATTGCCAATTCTGGCAGCACATGCAGTGTTTACCTCAGTGTGCCACAGAGCTGAGATCCCCCTGCAGAAAGGCTCTCAGCCCTGATGTGCTTCACCTTTTGCAGGGCTGCCCTTGCAGGGGTTGCACAAGGTGGGCATGTCAGGTCAGACCCAGCCTGGCATCTCTGCAGCAGGATCATGAGCATGTCCCCCAGAAAACACCTACTGAGGCTTCAGTCTAAAGTTTGCATTTGAAATTGTGAGATCCCAGCACAGGATATGAGGCATTAATGATTGACCATAATTAATTCTGATTTGTCAGCCTCAGTACCTTCTCCTTCTTCTTTACAATTAGACATAGGGCGGCAGGACAGTGCAAACAGTACTGCTTGTTTGGGAATACTAAGGATAGATTGTCCACAATGGAAGGTACCAGCTTGTATTGTGGCATACTTGCTAATTTTGTGTTAGATTTGATTCATTCTTTCATTGGCAGTTTTTGTTGGACCTCTTCTGAACTGTATTTGCATCTGCAGTGATTGTAAAATAAAGGCCACCCAGGTTAATGCTGTTTACCATTCACAAATAAGAAGTGAACCTTTATTTAATGAACAAAATATTGTGTAAAGTGTGTCACTGTACTGGCAACATTGTTCTGCAACCTGTGTTGTTATCATCTTGACGCCTGTGTGTGTTCATTTCTCTCCTACTTAGTGTCATGACCTCTATGACCTTGTGCTTCAGCATTGCAGTGCCAAACTGTGGGAAGGAAAGCATGCAAAAATTCATGTCTCATTAGAGTTTATCCAAATGGAAGGAAAAACTGGGACAAAGCCCAACTGGAATCTTTGTGGAGACAAATGTTGGGTTCTAAACAGATTATCTGTGTCCTCTCTAAATAACCTTCCTGTCCCTGTATTTCCATGGGCAGACTTGTGTTTGGCTTTCAGATGCAGAAAACAAGGCAAGCATCTTCATGCCCTGACTGGAAAAGATCCATTATTTTAGTCCATCTGAAATGATGATGTCTACCAAACTTCATATTGTGCTAAAATCTTTCACAATCATTGCATTTTCTGATACAGGCATAAATAGTGTTTAGTAGAATAACTAATGATGAGCCATATGCTAGGTTAGGAAAAAAGAAGGTGGATTTTTTTTAATGCAAACTATTTATGATGGACAACTTGTGCTTTCTTTCGGAGCAGTACTTCTGGAGCTGAAACGCGTTCCTGTGTTGCTGCCTTCTCCGGCAGCAACAGTCACCTCTGGCAGCTGTTTTTCAGTTGTGCTTTGATTGTTTTTTGCAACAAACCATTGTGTTTGTTTGTTTTATTGGCAACAAACCGTTTCTGGACTGCAGGGAGCCAGGGATCCCGAGCGGAGCAGGCAGGAGGGAGCACGGACGGGAGATGTGTGTGCCACAGGCTCCATCCCACGGCCGGCGGGAGCGGCCTGGCAATTCCCAGGCGCATTCACAGCGGCTGAAATCCTGCACGGTTGGTTCCAAAGCCACACTTCTTGCATAACCAGAAAGGAATTTACCTGCCAAGGAAACTGGCTTCGAGGCTTTCTGCACAAAATAGCCGCGATAGGAGTGCAGTGAACGTTGTAAAAGCGAGGCAAAAGAAACCGGCTTTGAAGAAGGACAAACATTTGAAGAGGTAAAAAAGCCGCTTGGAGGTGCTGAAACGCGGAGGGGGGCAGAGGAGAGGGAGATGCGCAGCACGGTAGGGCGGAGGGCGATTCTCCCGGCTCAGGGTGCCCCTATATTTATATATACATATATATATATACACATCCTATCTATATGCTATCTATACATCCGGGAGCGGCAGCACCGCGGAGCCCGGCGCGGCTCCGGACCGCGGGCAGCGCCCTCCGCCCCCCGCGCCCTCCGCACTCCGCGGGCTGGGATCGCACCGGAGCCCCGCCAGGAGAAACGCACTGAAATGTGCTTGTTTTACCGCTGCGGGCAATGGATGCGTGTTCTAGCTCCGCGTTGTCTTCATTACAATGAGCTTTCACCAAAAATGAGCGCTATCGGGGAGCTGAAAATCCTTCACAGAGTTATTCAGGAGGCTCCCTCTCTACAAACAGTAGTAAAAAATCTGTAATGCGCTTTTTCTTCGGTATGTGCAAACACAGGTACACCCACCGTGTTCATTAATTCGAAGTGTAACAACTGTAGTCATTCTTTCCTCTTTCACATTTAGGATCCTGTAAGTTTCATGGAAAAAATCTAAGATGTTTCTGGCACTTAAAAGGGTTTTTTTCAATATTGTTCTAGTAACTAATGGAATTAAGGATTCTACTGTTATGCTTGTTGGGGAACTTTTTAATGTCCTGGTATTTCCTGCTTTTTATAAATAATGATTTCCCTTTCCAGTGTTTTTGTCTTAATGTTGTTTCTCAGGGATAGACCTAACACCTGGACCCCACTGTGTCTGCCACTGGCTATGTCTTCAAGGAAGTGAAGACATCGTTTGTTTTCCAACCTCAGATGAGCTCAACCTGCGCCCACACCATGTAAGCATCCAGCACTGAGCCTGTCTAGTCAGCAACATGTCCTACTGCTACAGTGTGCTCTACTTAATCCAACCAATCAATACTGACAACACTGACAATCAGGATAGAAATGTCAGGTAATGAACTCTGAGCACCTTCTAATTACTGCTACATGAAAAGCACCCTTTCGCTCCCATCCTTGCATCTTAGGTTGGTTTTTGTTTTGTTCAAAGGCTTCACAGAACAAACTGGGACTTTGCAAGACCAGGCCTGGAGGGGAGTTTGGTACCACACTGGGACTGGCAGGGAAGGGGGACCCTGAAGGTAAATTTGGCATTGAAAAATGCTGAGTTTGCACATCTCTATAGTCTGTGCAGAAACAAATCCTATTGCCATCACAGCTTTTTACAAGGAGGTGCTGGCAGAATACATAACCCAAGGGTTTTCACTAGTTCAAAATGCCAGCAGAGACTTGGGAGAAGCAAATCTGCTTTGGGACTTTCCAGAATTTGAGGCACAAAGCTCATGGAATGTTTTATTTATCTGGTGAAATGGTGCACAAGGATTTTTAGTGGCTTTCCTTTTTCCTCTGTAAAATAAACATCTTTAGTAAAGAAGTCCAGGTCCAAACGGGATCAGGGAAAGTTATGAAATACAGCTGGGCTGCATTTTATAATAAAACAGCAGAAAATCCAATCACGAAAAGTAGGTGGAAGATGATATCTGCAAGACAAACACAGACTATATGTGAGTACTTCCCTGTCAGCTCCCCTTCACCTTCTCTTCCCACCCCATCCAATAAAACTCCATGCCCTAATGTGGCTCTGTCAACATATCAAATGTTAACAAATAGACTTTGAAAGGTGTATTTCAAAGCCTTTCCAATCAGAAATGCTTTCAGACAGCCTGTTAACCCAGCAAAATATGATTGTTCCTTTTTGGGAAGAGGGTGTGACAATTAGACAAAAAAAGATTGTTCCGTATTGGAAGTAATTGCTATGATTTTATTGTCTGGTGTGAGGATGTACCAAAGAAGGAAAATAAAGTATATTACACTGGGAAATAAAATATGATTTTGAAATGGTCACTCTTCTGTCAAATTTATTGATATTTCAGGTTTTTTCTTTGAGCTATGGATTTTATGTTGACAAAGACACTCAAAATCCATATTTGGGATTGATACTTTCATTGTCATACTTTTCTGTTTACCTGAGAGTGTGTAAAATCTGGATAAACCTTTGCCTATATAAAAGAGGAAAAAAAAGATTACATCAGGATGATGTTAAAAATAGGGTAAAGTGCACCAGTGTGCTTTGTAAAAGCAGAACAGAAAACATTTGTCACCTTTTGAAAGTCTGACTATTTCTTCCTCTTGGATTTACTGTTTGAAGTTATAAAAGGATCCTCAGTTCTTTTTCCTTCTTACATCGATGGGGGTTTACTGGTGCAGCATAATGGATTCTAATAATTCTATTGTATCTGTATTTGTAATTTTAAATTGGCTTTCAGATTGGTGCAGATACAGTTAAAGGGCTCTAGTGAAAACATTGTTTGTTCAAAAGAGTAACCAGCTCAGAGAGAAATCCCTGGTGCCTGCAGGAGGCAGCAGTTGGAGGAAACAGTTGTTCTGCAGTGGGGAAGGCTGATGTGCCATGAGTGTGTCAGGAGGGATAGGCACAAAGCATCCTTGTAACACATGAAGGTGTTGTGGATATGCTGAAGTACGGACCCACAGTGTGAGGAAAAACCTTCCTGCTGCTCCTGACCTGCCTCCCACTCCCATGGGAGCGTGTCTGAGTGCTGCTGAGGTCACGGGCAGGTGAGCAGAGCTTTCACTGCCAGCTCAGTGTGCCAGTGGTTTGGCCATTTATCATAAATGCCAAAGGGGTGCCTTGAGTCACTTGGCAAGTGAAGACAATTTCACTGAGCTCTTCTGCCAGAGTCAGAGGGGACCAACTGCTGTTGGAGACTCCTGCTGCCCCGGGGGAAAGGGGTCTGGCAGAGGGCTCTGGCTCCCTCTGCTCGCCAGCTCCATTGCTTCCCAAAGGGAGGAGCACCCCAGGACCGCAGGCACTTACTGCGCACGGTGATCTCGGCCACCAGAACCCCTCCGGTTTGCTCCGCGCGCTGCTTGCGCTTGTCACATGTCTCAAGAGAGCAGAGAGAAAGCCATGCATACCAAGACAATTAGAAATTATTAAAAGAAAAAAAAAAAAACGCAGGCAGAATTCTTATGTTTCCAACCAAGGAAATTGCTGCATATTTTCTAGGGAGTTTTGGTTGGTTTTTGTTTTTTTTTTTTTTTTCTGCTGGTAATTATTGGGGGTTTTAGTGCAGGAGAGATTTAAAGAGAGTCTTTACAGTTCATTTTCTGAAGATTTTTGGTGGGCTTTCCCACCCTGCTTTAAACAAAACTCCTGTCAAGAAGGGGGAAATTGAGCTCCATTTGTTTAACCCCTGACCTCTGTGAAGACTTCTGTGGCTGTTTATTGCTGATGATAATTGTTGCCCATTAGGTAGAAACAGGAAGCACCAAATCCTTTCCATATAGAGCAACTCATGTCCAGTACTAATGATGCCTGTCACAGCTGACAGGGTCTGTATTGGAAGCAGTGTTCTGCAGATTAAAGGTCCCTGTGCATCTCCTGACCTCTGCAGAGCCCCAGCTGTGGGCATTTTTATTACAAACCCAGCATATAGTAATTCTGGTTATGAGTTTCTTTTAAGCACAGACCACCAGCTTGGTTCAGCCTTAATTGCAGGAGACCATCAGCTGCATTTATGAGTGGGAAGTGGACTCGAGGGATGTGGCCTGATCTAGCAATTATCCTGCACTGGAGGGTGAGGTGGGAATTCCACACAGTGCCCGAAAGGATGATGTAGGTGTTTGACAGTACTGCCAGAGGGGCACATATGAAGTAATGGTTTTGTGTTTTCTTTCAACTCTGATCTGTGGCTGGATAAAAAGTTGAAGAAATCATGAAAAACAAACAACAAAACCTAAGAGTTTTTTCCTGTTACCTTTGAAACTTAGAATTTCTAACAATGTGTTTTTGTCAAACATGCAAATTTTGCACAAGTCAGTTCCTCCTGCTTAGCACTGAGGCTGTATAATACAAAATGCTGTATTAATTTTCTCCTGGACTAAGAAAGTGTTAGAAAGAAAAATTGGGTTCACCAGGAATGAACCTCTCCAGCAAGAACTATTTGTTGTTGAAATGACAGCATATTGGCTAAGGAGTATTTTGGGCTTTCATTTCAGGTTAAATAAAATTCTATTTCATTTCATGAGAGAAAGAATGGCAAAGCTCTGACTTGGTGAAGGGCGGAGAGAGAAGTTTTTAAAGAAAAACATTTTATGAGCACCTGCCCTTGTTAAATTATGTGCCTGTATAGCATACTCCCATCTAAGAATACAGGAATCCACTCTTCTACCTCAGTTCCTGCACCAGAGACAATTTATGTATTTTATGCAGAGTAGGATGTCTGCAAGAGCAATAACTTACTGCAGCATGGCAGAGAGGACTTTCCTTGGGAAGGGGGACTGGGAGCTTTGAGGCAGGTTCTCCGACTGCCTCCAGGCTGCTCTTAGCACAAAGATACTTGGTAAAATGAAAAAATCTCAACTTTCTAATTTTTTCCCGGGCTTGCGTTGAACTGTAGCTATTTGTCAGGTCTGTAGTCTGGGATATTGACAGGAGCTGAGTTTTTCAATGGCTACCCTATTTCTCAATAGTTTTAAACAAGTTTCCCAATGTTGCCTGTGGCACGCCAGGGGTCGGGGTGCACAGCTGGGTTCACAGTGCCGCGCCTGCATCTGCTGAGAGCCCTGGTGCTGGCTCTGCACCTCGGGGAGGGCTGGCAGTCCTGTCTGACATGGCACCGTGTGTTTCCCCAGCAGGGAGGCCTTACCACGGGGCAGGAGAACTTCTCGCTGTCGCAGACGTGCGTCTCGCAGTGCAGCCACACCTTGGACAGCTTGGGGATGTTGCGGAAGCGGAAGGCGTTGAACTGGAACGTGGCCCGGTTCGTCTTCCCGTTCTCGTGCACAAGGATGGAGTAGTCCGTGGCACACCTGTGTCGTGTGTGGAGGAGCAGTGTCAGAACCCCCATGGCTTCAGTGAAACATCTCCTGAGGTGACAGTCTAATGAAAGCATTTGCCCTGCTGGGGGCCAGCTTTTCCTTTGCTCCCTATCCCCCACCACCATCCTCAGGGCTGGGCTGAGTACAGGTGCTCCCCTGGGTCCCACCAGCACCTACCCCTTGGTGATCAAAGGCCAGTGGATCTGGTAGAAATACTCTGAGGAGGGAGTTGCCCAGCAGTTGTTGAGAACAACTTTAAATCTGGGGAGATACAAACCCCAGATTAGCAAGAAATGTCCCAATTGCCAATTTATTACTCATTCCTCCTTCCCTTGCCTACCTGTCACTTAAGCCCTTGGCTTCCACTCCAGCAAATATGTCAGAACCAATTTCAGATGTTTCAACCACAAAGGGGGCTTCCTTTATACTTGAGAACTTGGCATTCTTTGGAAGACAAAGACAAAGGCATAATACATTACTCGTAACATGCAAAGCACGGCATGATTCCAATTCAAACACCACTGGAGAGATTGACTCCAGAAATCTGGGTTCTTATAACCTGCAACCTCCAAAATCTACACTGGTAGTAGGAGTATTGGAAACCCAAGATGGTATTTAAAAATATTTTTATTTATATTTGGTGTATAATGATGATCAGTGACAGAACTTGCTGCTGTTTGGGTTGGAAAATGTATTGCAAGTATTCCCAAACAGCATGGGTGGGAAGCAAGCTTGCTGCTGCTGCCTCTGGTGGTGGAGAGAGCTGGTGGGAGTGAGAGAGTGGAGATGAGTTTGTAGGATGGGAATGGGGTCAGAACATGGCCAGATGTTGGAGAAAAGGAATGAAATCAAGCAGAAATCACTCACAAAAAAAAAAAAAAAAAAAAAAAAAAAAAAAAAAAAAAAAAAAAAAAAAAAAAAAAAAAAAAAAAAAAAAAAGCCAGCTTGCTGAACATGGAGCAGCATGGTGCTCAGGTGAAAAGTTTTTGTTATAAATACACTGAAATGCCTACCTTAAATTCCAGTGCTTCTTGTTGGGTAAGATGGAAACAAAGCTAGCACCAGAATTATACAAAGAATATCAGGTTTAGTCCTAGCATTGGCTTACCTAGTGGTAAATACTCCTTTTACCAGGCCTATAATTTTAACACTGTATGTTCCTAGTTGTGCTTTTTCCAACTGTGCTAAAATAAAGAAGCTGTTTTGGTGCTTTTGACTGTGCTTTTGTGGAGAAAAAATTCCAGGATTAGGAGCTGGCTGCTCCAGCAGTGCAGTGGAGCTATAGAGAGGAGAGGGATGCTTCAAAAGATCTAACAGATATCAAGGGACAATATTTTGTTGGCAACAAAATTCCAGTATGACCTAAAGATCTGTGGGGTACATGAAATATCTGTCAGTGAGAGGACCAGGGAGAAAGCTACAAGAGAAATGCAAGGAGCTTTGCTGTGTCTATAGAGGCTGTGCAAGGCCAGGAGTATGTGCAGATTCATGCTGCTCTTGCAGTGGGACTACACACAAGTTTTGATTTTTCTTCTAAAACCTGTCAGCAGGATAGAAATGTACCTCTCAGCAGAAAAATCTGTCTGATTTTGAGGGATTAAAAGAACAGTTGACATGTGTCTGCTCTGTTCACTTTAAGTATATCCCTGTTAATCAACAGAAAGAACCCCTGCCAATCCCACTGCAATTATCTGTTCCAGGCTAGAAGTGTGCTCCATGACAAATAAAAGTCAGGAGCAGCTGCCCTGTTTTTTCCAGCTCTTCAGCTGAAGCCTTTGTAAGGTAAAGGTGAAGGTGTGAGTGGCAAAGAGCACTTACAGAGTAGAAGTTGAGGGACAACTGGCTTTCAAATGAGCCGGAGCTCCCGTTCTTCACATGGACAGTGGCCACCCTGGGGACAGGACAAAATTCTGCATGAGTGAGGCATGGTGGTGAGGACAGGGTGAGACACACTCCCAGAAGAGGATGTACCTTTGGTCAAAGGCAGCCTGGTTCACCAGGTAGTTGGCATTGTACGTGCAGGTGAATGAGTAATTCACAGGCTGGTTCTTCACAATCACTGAGGAGTCATTGGAGACGATGGAGTTATAGAAGTGATACACGGGATTCTTGAACTGTGAATGGTGAGACACAGAAATGTGGGCAGTACTGAGTCCTTGAAGCATCAGGAATGTACTTTGAAACATGAAGACTCTGGTGTCAAAACAGCTTCCCCCAGGAAACATGGTTTGCTAGCTCTTTATATGCTGTGCTGCCTATTCATATGCCTTACTAAACATAAGTTCTGTGTAATACAGGTGCACAGCAGACTAATATCACGAAGCTTGTGAGTGTTTTGCCTGGAACTGCAAAGCACAGCTGTGTGATTCTTCCTTCTCTTTGACTCTGCAGTTTCCCTCCTTCTTCCCTTGGTACCTAAAGCTTACTTCAAGCTGAAGAGGATAGGACTCTCTCAAGTGAGTGCAGCCATTTCTTGAATCAGTAATTCTGACCTTCATAGTCTTACCTCTGACTGTGTGCCACAGTATGATTTGTTTTTAGGTGAAAGGTCTGGGATTGTGAATTGGTAATATCCTGAATCGTGGATCCCATTGTAGCAAATGCCTCCAAGTGCCAGCTGATTAACCTCCCATCCATAAGGACACTCTGGAATTCTGGTAATGATGGTTTTAGGATAGCAGTATACCAGAATTACATCTGGAAGGAAAATGATACACCCGGAGTTATTCAGTAGTAATTTCCTTTCAAAGAGGTGGGCCCGCCCACTTACTTTCCATTGGGCTTAACCTTCTGTGAACAGGGGTGTGTGCTGGAAGATCCCCTAATGAGAGCAGCTTTTGCTACACAAAATGGACCTTTAAGTTGTTAAATTCTGTCCTCTTTGGAAGAGTTTAGCCTTTGCCTTTTAATCAATGCAAAACTTTGTGAAAATTTTTTATCTTTCTAGAATAGCTGATTGAAAAGCAGAGACACTGCTGAGAAACCTGAAGTAAAAAAGACTGCACTGAAAATGTCTCATTAATTTATGCTGCAAAGCTGGCTTCTGTAACACCACTGACTCTGTAAAAATAATATTGGTGAGGTTGTTTGGTAGGCTTTGTAGATCTGCACTGTTTTGTAATGGTGTATAGATCTTGGCCACAATAAATAATCTGCTTTTTCTCTTCTTGGACTGGCACTGTAGTGCTAGCACAAACTGAATTTTTCCAATTGTCAAGTCAAAAGCTAAGATTTAAAACTGAACTGAAGAACCTGGACCTTCTAACAACAATAGGAAATGACCCAAACTCCCAGCCCTGTTAACAGCAGTGCTGTGTGTTTCCAAACATGGTGATTGCTAATACACACATGAATGCTGAGCACCATTACAGACAGACAGATTGCTTCATGCTAGCAGAATTGGATATTTTTGACAGGCAGATCTAATTTGAACGTCTGATGGAAATAAGGCCAAATATTGACTAACCATTAGTGACCTGAAAAATGAGGAAGACTTATTCAGTTACTTCTTTTAAAGCCCTTGCCACTCTCATTTTTTATGCTAAAAGCCTCATTTTGCAGCCTTTCTATGTCTGCTAGGGAATAATCTGGGAGAGTCAACTAGACTTCTTAACAACTTGCTTTTTTCTGATTAACAAACCTTTAGCACATGCAAGCTGAAACTGCTTGTGTTAATACTCAGAATTAAAACTGGCAACTTGAGAGCTGTGAAAATTCCTTTAGTTAAGAAAAACTGCTCGTGCAAATAAAGGTGCTGAAATAAATGGCTAGAGGGCCAAATACTTTAGATATACCATGAAATGACCGACAGCATTCTGACAGCAGTCATGCACTAAAAAGCAAACACTAAATTGAGGCATATTGCAGCAAATTTCTAGAGCACATTTTGTAATTATAGTGAAATCTACATTACAGGTCTGTCTGGCACCAGATCACTTCAGTTTGTAGGCACTAATCAGTGTGCAACTACCTTCAATGATTTTTGTATTTTTCTTGCTTTAATGTAACAGTGTGGTTCAGGGGTTCAGCCCAGCACATTCAGTCACCACTGGCAATCTGACTGTAGTCCGTGGGACGAAAGCCCAGTTTGGGCAGCAAAGATCTGCTGCATCTGTACTATTACAGAGAATTTCTAATTGCTTTTGTTCCCTTTGCTATTTTATGCTTTTGTGATTAACTTTCCTGCACTATGGTTATTCAGAGTTAACTATATGCCTAATTCTTTGTGGGGTTAGGACTTCTATGGAACATTCTTTACTGTGCTAGCTAGCTCAAAGCAGGTCAATAAAAGAAATGTAAGGATTAGCTCTACAGAACCCACAGTTTAACTTTCTGGAGGAAAACATTTTGATTTTGAATGAAAAAAAAAAAAAAATTTTGGCAGCTTAATTACAGGAGAAGATCACAAGTTATTTTACCTGCTTTATTTGGGCTGCAAGGCCCTGCAAGAGCTCGAGCCAAGATGACCAGCAGATAAATAGCAAGAGTCACCATTTCTTGCAATGATCTGAGGATACAGGAAATAAAAGCTGAAAATGTCTTTAAAAGTGGAAATAAAAACAATGCATTGTCTGCAGTCCTGAGCTTCTAATAGCTACTGTTAAAATGTCCTTTTCGCAGAGAGAAAAAATAACATTACTGATATCCTGTCACCCAATGTAATTGCAACTACAGGGTAAATCTTTCAAAGACCATTGCTATTACTATGTAACTACTGTGACAATTTTACTATTTCAGTTTAGTGGTGGCTTTTAATTATTCTACTTTGATTTCTTGCAAAGAGTCTAAACTTAAAGTGTTAATATAACACTAAATGAAATGAAAACAGTGGGATTTGAAAAAAGGAGGGAATAGAAATTACTAGAATAAATATGTCACAAGAACATATATAATGTGCTTAAAATTAGGGCTGAAACTATTCTCTGTAGTGATGGCTATTCTGATGCCTATAATCTCAATTTCATGTAGCTCAGTTTTGGCAAATTATGCATTTTCTCCTTTGCTGCTAAATGTTGAGTTTCTAGGAAAACATCCATAGAAGTTATTTACATTTACATTTCAGGCCTCAAACCTGAAAAATGTTTCCCACAGGGGAAAACATATACAGCTGTGGGATTGGGACTGCAGTTCTCATATTTTCCCTTTGAAGACACTCTTCAGTATCAGGCCTCATACACTAAGCAGACTAAATCAGAAGTAAAAAATATCATTTATGGAAAAAAAAAAATCATTCTAATTCAGTAGTCTAACAAAACAAATAAATTTCAACATTTTCACTCAGCCTCTACTTAAAAATATATATCTATAAAAGGGTCTTAAAGTACATATCAGTGACAATTCCTTCAAATTATTATCCTATGCATTCTACAAGAAATTAAGGGTTATACCTACGAGACAGGAAGGAGCTATTATTTCAGATTTTCATTCCAGTCTTATTCCAAAAGCAGCGCTGTCAGCTCTTTCCAAGATGTCCTCTTTCAAATGAACCCAGCTGGTGTTATCTTCGCTTTATATAAGCAATCTTGTAAAAGGAGCCCATCTCTGGTTAAATCTCAACCTGCCAGTATTGTCCAGTGTGAGAGGAAAAAAAAAAAAGAGTTATAGAAAAGCAGTTCTCTTCCCCTAGATGAGTCTGCATTGCTGCTATTTGATTTTTACAAATCTTTCTACAGTGGTTTTTACAGATCTTGCAAACAAATGAACAGAAACCTGCTGAAGGTACAGAATTTTTTTTGTTTGTGAGTTTATTAGGAAAATGTAGAATTTCTGGAGAATTAACTGCAGCTACAACTGCCTGCTAGAATTCAGTGAAAATATATTTATAAGAATTAGCTGCTTGTCTTAAATGGTTTATTGAGAATGTCAAGCTTTTGTGCCATACAAGTGGACAAAAGTAATGTCAATAGGTCGTATACTACTTTTGGAGTTGTTTTTTTAGTTATTTTTTTTACTAAAAGCTCACAGACAGGTAATCTGAATTTAGGTAGGCTCTTCCAAAAGTTTTAGCATTATACTACATAATAATAGTATATAATACTAAATGCATGTAAGACTGTGTAATATACATAGAATATTAAACTATAGATTGTGTAAAATTTACCATTGCACAGAAAACTGAAATAAATTTACTCTTTGTATGGCCACCAGTCATGAGGATGCCTATGAAAGTCTTGACTAGCTGGTAGGATTTTCTGGTGCCCCGTTTGTGTCAGCTTATAGTGAAAGGCCCAGAAAAAGTAGTGGGTGCACTACTTCTATTTTATACAGAACATGGGCTTTAAACAGTCTTGCCATGGAAATCAGCTGTGGGACTGTGTCCCAAACCCTACCCAGTCCCAGCTGCTGTTGAACCACTCATGCTCTGACACCTGTCTGCAGTCTCTAAACACAGAGGCTCTCACAGACCAGCCCTGTGGGCTCCTCACAGATGCTCTGGTAGCTCCTCCTGTGCAGAGCCTTGATCTGCCCCATCACAGCAGGACTTTGGTGTCCTTCTCTCAAGCAGTTTTTGGCATATAGGCTGGCACAGTGATAAAGCTGTACCACTTGTCAATAGTCTGGAGTTTGTGAAGGAGAGAGTGTAATGGAACAGCACAGTGGCCCTGACCTAAACCTGAAATGCTCAACAAGGAGTTTTTAGCTGGCCTGTGTGTGAGATTTATAGGAACAACTTGAGGACAGCAGTCACTACGAGAAGTGTCTCAAGCCAGAAGACCTGAGCAAAGCAGGGCCATGGGTACACCTGCACTGTGAGGGTGCTTGGTGATGGTCGCGTGCAGGTGAATCTGCAGTGACATGAAGAATTAAGTGATCAGGGTGACTTCTTCTGGCAAACTGATTCAAAGCCCCAAGCAAAAGTTGAAAAGTCTATACATGTCAGTGCTTAACTTCAAACATCAAGTCTGAACCAAGATTGAAGCTTTGTAAGGAGCTGCTCTGTCATTATTGGACACAAAATGAGTACACAGAAGCTTCGTGAGTTCAAGAAAGAAAAAGAGCTAATTTTATTTCTGACCTCGCAATATATAGAATTCCAAAAGTCACAGTGGATTGCAGGATGAAATTGCCACCTCTTCAACCACACTGGTCAAACCAACAGTCCATCAATTCTCTCCTCCCACAAAGAAGAATGCAAAACAATCATTAGGTACATGAACAGTGTGTGAGAACTCTTAGTAGAAATATGTAAACACTATCAGAAGGCTAAATAAGTTTTATGAAAACTTTAAAACTTTCAAAAGAACTATAACAGAAAACTTAACACTTTTAAAAATCAGGGCAACATTGCTCTTACTGTTCTTGTGAGCCTGCAAGCCACCACATTCTGATTTAAATGAGATTACTTACAGATGGACAAATGGATAAAATCTTCTGGGCAGGGTTTGTTGCTATTTTAATTGAATTAAAGAACAATCCACTGAACAAGAACCAAAGCTCATCAATCATTTGGTGTGATCTCTCTAACTAGAGCTTATCGTCATCAGAAATCCTAAAGCAAAGACGATTTAACTCCAGGGGTCTGTTTTATAGTCTCACTCCAAATCCTGCAGGGATTCAGGCCTAATTTTGATTTTCTAAGGCTAAATCTAAACATGCACTGTGTCAACATGCACTATTTTTTGTCTTTTCCTGTGTGTGTATTTGGTCTGGAAAAAGAAACCAGGGTTTCTGGTGAGACTTTATGATCAACCCTGTTGACAAGAATATATAGCCCAGAAACAAGGGGAGGCTTGCAGGAGAAAGCTTGTGACTTTGGGCATGAGAAAGGACTCATGGCTGTGTACAAGCTAATTCTTCAAATTCAAAGAATCAGATTCAGGCCTGGGCTTGGACTTGGCCTATCAGGCCTGCACACACAGAGCTGATTTGGTGCATATTTGGCCAACCTTGATTAGGCATAGTGTAAATTATGTAAGTGATCTACCTCACCATAACGTTAACAAAGCTCTGGAAACACAGATAGATTTTTACTGATGATTTTTAGCAAATACTCTAATTAAATTATTGCTGGTATAATACTACAGGTTTCAGTGGAATTACTCCAAAATGGATCTAATCCCATAATTTGTAAGAGAAAAAAAATCTCTTGCTATCTTCTCACAGAAAACTTATCTCCATGTACATAATACTCCTTTTAGGCAAAAGGTAAAAAACAGAATGAAAACCATGAACAAATTTGGCAGTGGTGCCAGCTGGTATATAGTAGTTTTCATTTGCATGAGAAACAAGCACAAAATGTACCTAAGCCAACCAGCATTTGATACCTGCACTGATCAAAGGTGAAGGCTGGGGAAAGGCTTAGGTTTCTCTCAGTAAGTGCACACACAGAGAAAGGAAAGCCATTAACTTGCAAAGCAGACCATTGAGGATTGTTGTGGTTCCCTGAGTCTTTCCAAGACCATTGAATAATCTCAGCAACCTAAGTATTTGTAGAGATTTCAACCAAGAGCAAATGAAGGCCTTATTGTGGATTTCACCTACAAGGGCAGCTTGTGTCTCCAGCCTTGTTCCTCACATTGTGATGGAAAGCTGAGTGAATATCAACTGTCTGGCTCCTACATGAAGCAAATGAGGTTCTGCTGTTTGAACCTGCAAGGGATATTGCAACATCCAATTTTCATTGGTTTTGGACAAAACAATAAATCTGAAGAGTCCCTTAACTATATGGAAGGATTTATGGGATAATGGGGATCAATGGAGACAGGCAGCTGATTCCAGGAGAAGGCAGATCAGTTGACACTCATCTAGAGGCTGCAATGTATAAATAAATGATGGTGTTTCCACACACCAAAACTTGGCGTACTCAGTTTTGTCTGAGATAAGGAGTGTATTTATCCCACAGGCATAGAGACATCCATGCTGGGTCTGGAAGCATAGCAGCTGTATTTATATTTGGCCTGATCTGAGCGAGTAGATCCTCTTGGAAGTGCAGCACTGTGTTGGTACAATCCAATTTTCCTGAAGTCTGATTGAGCTGTGCTGTGTAGACTTATTCCCTCAAGTCATAAATACCTTAGGGATTTAGGATTGTTTTGCCATTTACAGTGTAAATACCTTTTCTGCAGTTTATTACTCATGGCACATGGCTGGTCACTCACTTCAGCACATGACTGAGTCACCTTCCCTGGAGGTACCTGCACATGTGGCACTAAAGGACATGGTTAGTGGTGATCTTGGCAGTTAGGACAGTTGGACTTAAAGATATTTTTCCCAGCTAAATGATTCTACATTTCTATTCTATGAATGTTTTAGCCTTGTGAGCAGATTATAGAGCAATGCATGTATGTACAGAGAGCCTGGGACCCACAGATCTTCTGCACCCCAAGTCCCCAGGCGGCTGATATCCTTCAGTAACTGCACAAGACCTATCAGAAGAAGGGGAAATCAGAGGAAACTGTCATTGTAGAAGAGTACATAAAAACCAGAGATGGACATTCAGGCCACTGGAAGAGACAGTCTTCTGCTCTTGACTTCCTCATGCGTTAGATCTCTGTCTGTGTAACTACGCAACACTGAATCATAATTTTTCAGCAATCACCTGCAGCCATCAGCTTGGTGAGACAGTGCTGCTGCTGGCACATGCACTCCTAGGCTGTGGGAGAGGACAGTCTCTCAGCTGAAGAAGCATTCCCTTGATAATTCTGCTGTTCAAGACAGATATTTACAACAGCAAATCTTGCTGAACACAAAATTGTGGCTGAAGTAAATAATCATATTTCATGCTCATTTGAATCCCTGATCCTATTGCTGTTTAGCTTTGCCAGCATATTTAATGTTCTTTGGATGCTTCTCCAGCAAAGTCTTGCCTGTTTTGCAGTTTGCTACTGCTGGAACAGAACATCAGTTTCCAGCTGAGTTTCCTTGAAGCCTTCGTGTGGGTAAGTGCTTTATTTGTTGTAATTTTTTAGGGGATGTCTTGGAGCTAACTAGTTATGAAGGATAAGGATTTGGAGCTGGATTTAATAAGGACACGGTGCTTGATTTAATGAATGTATGAGACATGTAAAACAGGTCATGCAAGACCAGAACTGATGACTTACACGATGATCATGTGAGACCTCACTCATCCTTGGACTGCCTCTAGTTGGAAATGCCTAAACTTGCCATGTACTTAATTAATTTGTCTAAAAGAGGCATGTATTGCATTAACAAGTGCTGTAAGGTGGCCAGGATACATGCACAGATATCTGTAAGGTGCCCAAGATATCCTGTGACACAGGACCTCTGGGACACTCAGGCACTATTGGAATGGGAATTGGAAGCCAAGGATAGTCAGGATATCTTAAATGACACTGGATATCTGTGTGTGGGCATCTGAGTGGAGACCAGCCAGACATGCTGCTCTGGTTGGCTTGACATTCATTTTTGCTTGCCTTGGAAGGCTGAGCAGCCCTGCAAACTCAGCAGCACACATGCCTGAGCCTGCTCCAGCACCCTCCAATTAC